AGAGATTAGGAAATACTCTGGAGTTAGTAGGTATAGGTAAGAACTTTCTCAGAAACCCCAGCAGCACAAGCAACTAAGAGATAGCATAGATAAATGGGACCTCATAAAACTAAAAGCTTCTGTTCATCAAAAGAAATGGTCTCTAAACTGAAGAGAACACCCACAGAGTGGGAGAAAATATTTGCCAACTACACATCAGACAAAGGACTGATAACCAGAATATATAGGGAACTTAAAAAACTAAATTCTCCCAAAACTAATGAACCAATAAAGAAATGGGCAAGTGAACTAAACAGAACTTTCTCAAAAGAAGAAATTCAAATGGCCAAAAAACACATGAAAAAATGCTCACCATCTCTAGCAATAAAGGAAATGCAAATTAAAACCACACTAAGATTCCACCTCACCCCTGTTAGAATAGCCATCATTAGCAACACCACCAACAACAGGTGTTGGCGAGGATGCGGGGAAAAAGGAACCCTTTTACACTGTTGGTGGGAATGTAAACTAGTACAACCACTCTGGAAAAAAATTTGGAGGCTACTTAAAAAGCTAAACATTGATCTACCATTTGATCCAGCAATACCACTCTTGGGGATATACCCAAAAGACTGTGACACAGGTTACTCCAGAGGCACCTGCACACCCATGTTTATTGCGGCACTATTCACAATAGCCAAGTTATGGAAACAGCCAAGATGCCCCACCACTGACGAATGGATTAAGAAAATGTGGTATCTATACACAATGGAATTTTATGCAGCCATGAAGAAGAACGAAATGTTATCATTCGCTGGTAAATGGATGGAATTGGAGAACATCATTCTGAGTGAGGTTAGCCTGGCCCAAAAGACCAAAAATCGTATGTTCTCCCTCATATGTGGACATTAGATTAAGGGCAATCACAACAAGGGGATTGGACTTTGAGCACATGATAAAAGCAGAGCACACAAAGGAGGGGTGAGGATAGGTAAGACACCTAAAAAATTAGCTAGCATTTGTTGCCCTTAACGCAGAGAAACTAAAGCAGATACCTTAAAAGCAACTGAGGCCAATAGGAATAGGGGACCAGGAAGCAGAGAAAAGGTGAGATCAAAAAGAATTAACCTAGAAGGTAAGATACACACACAGGAAACTAATGTGAGTCAACTCCCTGTATAGCTATCCTTATCTCAACCAGCAAAACCCCTTGTTCCTTCCTATTATTGCTTATACTCTCTCTTCAACAAAATTAGAGATAAGTGCAAAATAGTTTCTGCTGGGTATTGAGGGGGTGAGGGGGAGAGGGGGGGGCGGAGTGGGTGGTAAGGGAGGGGGTAGGGGCAGGGGGGAGAAATGACTCAAGCATTGTATGCACATATAAATAATAAAACAATAAAAAAAAGAAGTGTGCCCTTTAAATGTACCTGCAGGATATATCATGGATGGGATCCCTCTGAGAATGCTAGAATAGTGAGTATGACAGAGAGTCAATTTAGACATAAAGCTTATACTGTTCTCTTGCTGGCAATTTTTTTGGGGGGTGGTGCTGGGGATCTCTTCCTAGCTCAATACCAGTAATCTATAAGGGCTGATGATGTGAGTCGAGCTTTAAAAATGTCAGAAGCTGATGATACAAGAGACCAAATGGTTTGTTTCAAGAGGAAAATCTTTGAGAAAGTGAGAAGTAACAGGATCAAGGCTTTTTGGAACAATGTCCTTGGAAAGTTGCAAGCAACATCCACCAATTACAGAAGGCAAGGCAGACAAAGCACAGATGGATCCCTATAGCTTGTTAGATCTGAGAAAAGATAAGGAAATTCCATCTGATTGCTTTTATTTTCACTAGAGAGTGAGGGAAGGTACAAAATGTTTGCCAGAACTAATAATTAAAATGATAATTTGGAAAGTGAACATGGATGGGCAGTAGAACTGGCCTGCAATATGAGTACTGACTTGAGAGCTGTGGTCATGACTTCGAAATGAGATTGATTTTTCCTCCAGCATCTGCTTGGCTGCAGGCACAGCAGGGGACAAACCATGCGATCAAATAGGGCTAGCATCACCTCTGTGTACTATACTTTAACTTGTTTCTGGTGCAACTCAATGACTGAGAGCATGAACTCTGGACTCAGACTGTATGGGCTCTTGTCCTAGTTCCATCCTATATTAGCTACATGACCTTCGGTGGGTCACTGAACAGCTCCATGTCTTGGTTTATTCAATAACAGCACTGATTTTATAGGCTGTATAAACAAATTACTTATAATGGTGTTCAGTACAGAATAAGTAGATTCCCATAGTTAGCAAATAAAAATAGCGGATGTCTGGTTGAATTTAAATTTCAAATAAACAAAAAATAATGTTTAGTATAATATGTCCCATGTAATATTTACTTGGAAAACTTATGGATAAACACTAAATAGCTTTATTAAATAAGTAATAATTTTTGTATCTATGCTTCCAGAGCACTGGAAATATATTACATTGAATTATAGTAAGTTGTTTCTATGCCTCTTTAGCTTTTATGAGGAAACTTCCTGAAGGCAAAAAGCATGTCTTAATAATCTCTTTAACCCTTGAAATTCACACAACACTCATTAGTTCATAAAACACAGAAGACTGAAGAGTTATAGGCACAATAAATGGAGTCCAACACTACCTTGCTTGTTGTTTCCTTTGAAGTTGCTACAGAAAATGTATCTCTAGGAACCATGGAAGAAAAGAGGAGCCAACCTTCATCACTTCCTATAGCAACAGTCCCTGGCTCCTCAGTATCCTGGGTTAGCCAAAGACTAGCACCAGCTGTGAATTAGTAATGCTCTTTCACATATGATTTTATGTTAGCTTTTTGTGATTGTGTGTGTGTGCACACACGTGTTCATGCATATTGTGTGCATAAGTATATATGGATAAAATAGAAAAGTCCAACATTTTTTAATGAAGGAAATCTTGCTTTGCAATAGATTGAGAAAAATGCTTTATGATAAGACCAGAAAATATGAGCAAATGTCCTCCCACCACACTATGACTGACCCCGATTTGTCTGTCTTCCTATCCATTTCCCTTCTTCCTTATTTGCCGCCTCCTAATTTTGTTCAGGGTAGCGATAAAACCACCTAAAAACATTCATATAGACTTCCCTAAGTCACACAGCATAGTTGTAGGTAATGAAAAATAAGCAGAAGTTTACTAGCTGGTGCTGCCATGAAAACTGTTCTTTTCAAAACTAAAAAACAGACTCAGCTGGCAAACCCCTGATTCCTTTGCCTTTCTCCTCTCGATCCTTCTCCTGCATGACCTTCTTAGACCATGGATGCTTATCATAGATAACAACAGATAGATCAAGCAGACATAAAAAAGATGTTAAGATGACATTAAAACAATTGAAAGTTAGCAATCATTTATTGAAACTCACAACTTTAAAAGTACTTTAATATCTGATGATTTCATGTGGACTTTAAGTACTGAGTTTACTGGACTAAAAAAAAATAAAAGTAGTTAATAAAGTCTTAACATATGTATGAGTAAGAAACTAAGAATGTGGTAGAAAATGATGACTATTATAAGCTAGATTGAAATATGACTGAGGTAAAAATTTTTACATTATTACTCACTAATGAAACCCAGAACTTCCCTGGCCCAGAGTAAAAGCCACACAGGATAGGAGAGGGGGTTGGTGGAATGAAGACTTCAGGTAGTGGCTCCTCTTCTTCTTCTTCCTCTCCTTCCTCCTCCTCCTCCTCCTCCTCATAGAATTCTTTTTCTCCATCTTCTCCCATCTCTTCTAGTAGCTTCTTTCTCCTTGCTTTCTTTTCCTTTTCCTTCAGCTCCTTTTGCTTTTGTCTCCTTTCAATTTCTATTAATCTCTTTAAAAAGAGATATTAAGTAGATGTTAAAAAAAACTGTAACATTCATTAACATTATTGAGAGTAACAAAGAACAGAAGGAAGATAGGTTTCTAGAAAACGCATAGCTTTGGTATAACAAATCATGCTATTTATAAATAATTATCTTTTGGGGTATATATTCTTACCATTAAAATTCAAATATTTGGAATGACTGTCATTTGTTTTACCTCTATTGATACCAGCTTTATAGAAGTTATTTTGTCATTCTTTCCTAAAAGAAGAGCTGAACAGTTTTCTCCCAGAGCATGTCACTGTCAACTCAAGAACTAGGTGGACTGAAGCAGTCAATGAAGAAAGCTGATTCCAACTGCAATAATACTGATTTATCCCCTCATATTTATCAACAGTCCATCATAAAAGTCCCCCATCACTGGTATCCTGTCTCCCATCTTTTACCTTTTCCTTCTGTTTACCTCCTCAGAATTATATTCTTAATTTATACAATCTTATCCATCAGTTCTCTCCTTTAAAACTCACAATGCATCCCAGTGGCGCAAACTGACGTCTTGGCTATCAGTGAAGAAACCCCCTGCTCTATCACAAACTCCTGCTTCATCCTTCACAAACTATATCCTGCCATTTCGCCAGCCCATTCTTCATCTCCTCAAAACACTGAGGACTCTCCTGATGCTGCCTCTCCTCGGGATGTTCTCTCAGCCTTTACTGTCACTTACATTTGATCCCTTCAAACTTCTTCCCACCCTCTAAGTATTAACTGTCACTTCCATGCAACCATGTTAGACCTCTTCCTACTCCTCCATTCTCATCATCTACCCCATCCTTGCACATGTCTAAAATTCCTTTCTTTGTACTCTGATTTTAGTATCTATTCATTATTGACTTCTAATACAGTTAGCTGCTTTCCTACCAGATTATAGGCAGCTCAGGTCAGCATCTGCTTTATTCTAGTTTGTACTCTTTCATCACTTAATACACAATGTTTTATATTTTAACACAAGGAAAATAATAGGAGATAATGCTTCAAGAATATCACATACCAGAATCTCAGATTTGATACTTGAGAAATGAAAACACTTTATGCACATGTCCTGGATTTCATAGGAGGTTACTTCATGATCTTCTTTTTCTTTAATAGCTGGATATGGAGCTTCAAGAATATAGCCATTCTCACAAATAATCAGTAAAGTACTTTCAAGCTAAAAAGGAACAATTAAACATATCATTTACATTTAGACAAATTTTACAAGCATAGTTCAAAAAGATTATAAACCAAGAAAAACAGAATGGATATGTATAGTAACCATTTAAAAAACACTTCCATTTAAAAAAATTCTCACTGTAGTTATTGGTAATAAACCTTGTTATTAATAATTATTTATTAATAATGAATAATTACTGGTAATAATCATTACCAGTACCAATTACCAATTATCATACAATTATTAATTCATAAGCTAATTGTTAAAATTAGATTTTGGTTTGGTTCATTTAGAGATGCCATAACATATTTCCTAAGCTAAATATGTGCCTGTGAAATCTATTAGCCCAAAGGGCAAAATGTTATAATTAGAAATACCAAGAAAAATCTGCAGTGCATGAATGGCATAAGTCTCAGACATCTTTGACAGTCCAGCCTCTATCTGCCTGAGTTCATTTAAATTGGATGCTCCCAAGGCCTTTGTCCTTTTGAGAGAGGGCTAAGAAGTGAGATGGGGTGAATTGCTCACAAGTGGGAAGGGAGATGGTTCCTCTATTGTAAAAGAAGGTGGGGGAGGAGAAGGAAGAGGAGGAAGAACGACAAAAGGAGAAAGAGGAAGAAGAGGAGGAGGAGGTAGACAGAGAAAGAATGAGATTTTCTGTTTGGTAGTGGGAAGGTGAAGAAGTTCCTGCCTGAGGGCTCCTAGTTTTTCTAGGAAGTGATGCTGAGAGTGAGAGTGAGAGTGAGAATGGAGGACAGAAGCTTTGATGTTTTAAAGTGGTCCTGGTGTATGGAAGAGGGAGTTGACAAACTCCATCTCCTGGATTGTGTGGAGCACATGTGAATCAATATATTACGGAGGAGTTAATAATCTTCCTTGATGTTTGACATCTCCTATAGAATTAATTGATCACTGTAGGCAAATGTAGGTTAGTGAGGGACACTCAGGGCTTGATTCTTATCAGATGTGAATAAAAGAAGATAGAATAGGGAGGAACAGGGCATTGAAAGAATGTTATTAATTTTTATTTATCTTGGTTCAGGTGCTGTAACACAATACCATAAATATTCTGGTTGATTTAAATAACAGAAATTTATTTATCACAGTTCTAGAGGCTGGGAAGTCCAAAATAAGACACTGGTAGATCTGGTGTCTGGTCAGGGCATGCTTCCTGAGGGTTTGTAGGTGAAAGTCTTAGTCACAGTAGTTTCACATGGCAGAGAAAGCAAACTCTGCTCTCATCATCATTTTACAAGGGCACTAATCCTATTCATGATGACTCCATCCTCATGAACCAATAACCCCTTAAAGGCACCACCTCCAAATACTGTCTCTGGGTATTCAGACTTCAACATATAAATCTGAAGAGGACATAAATATTTAGCCCATAGAATTGATGAAATGAAGACTCATAGATTTTAAGCTGGAAATGGGAGGAAGTGAAGAAAAGAGTGAACTGATAGGTTAGAGAAAGCAAATGGTAAATGAAATAGAGGTCTCTCTATCACCAAAGACCTAGTGGAGCAGCAGCAAGTTGAAAAGTTGAGGTCAGAGAATGAGCTATTTCAACAGTTGCTTTTTTTTTTTTTTTTGGTGATACTAGGGATTGAACCCAGGGCCTCACAATATCACTTGAGCCATGACCCCAGTCCTTTTTCTTTTAGTTTGTTTCTCAGGTAGGGTTTCAAGCTTTTTGCACAGGTTGGACTCAGTCTACAATCCTCCTACCTCCGTCTCCAAAGTAGTTGGGATTATAGATATGTACCACCACACCCAGCTTAGATAGCTGACCCTTAAATTTGAGTTCCTAGAAATTGTTATAGGCTGAATTGTGCCCCTCTCCTGAAAAACAATAGGTGGAAGTTTAATGCTTTCAGGAAGTCAGACAAGCTGACTTAGGCCTAAGGGCTAAGACCTATTGCTTTTGAACAAGTGAAGTCTGCAGCATATTTATTACATAAAATAATTTACTTTGACATTAGTAATTCTCAAATAACATTACAAATATTAGTGCTGACAGACAATACTACTTAAAATAACTTTTGAATTATGGTGGGTTTTTTTATCCTGTATTTCTGCTTCTAATTTTTTAACTTCTTATTTTGAAATAATTATAGCTCCACAGGAAGTTGAAAAGATAGTCTAGAGAGACATCATGTACTCTTCACCAAATTTCATCTTAGGCAACTGTACCAAAATCAGGAAATCAACAGTAGTTTAGAATGTGTGTTTAATTCTATGCCATTTTATCACATGTGTAGATTCTTGTTACCATCATGGAAATCAAGATACAAAACTATCTCATGGCCAGAAAGATCTCCCTTAAGCTACTCCTTTATACCCATACCCACTCCCTCCCTAACCCCTGGCAAATGTCTGTTTTTCAATTTGGGGTCCAGGCAAATGACTGCAGAATACACATAATATTGTGTGTTGTGATGCACACATTCAACCATTCATACAGAGGTTCCTTTGTGGTTGTCATTCCCTCCAATTCTGCAGTATTCAGTACAATAATACAAAAATAACTTGCCATAACTTTTCCTTTTTTGATAGACCCCTGCTCTAAATTCACAGCACAAATTGTCAATGCCACTGATATTTTAGTTGCCAATTCCTTTGTAAAAACTTTTATTGTTTGTTGACAAAATTATTTAGTTTTTAAAATATATGTTTTTCTTCCTTGAGAACATAGACTGTATTTTTAATTCTTAGAGAATCCACCACAATATCTAGCAAAGATAGAAACAGTAAGTATTTGTTAATTAATTCTTGAAGTATATTTTTGCAAGCCAGGTATGGTGGTGCATTCACCAGCAACTTAGGAGGTAGAGCAGAAGGATCTCAAGTTCAAGGCCAGCCTGGGTAAAGTTAGCTTGAGACTTATCTCAAAAACAAAATACAAACAAAAGGGTTGGGGTACAATTCAAGTAGTTGAGCATTTGCCCAGCATGCACAAGTCCCTGATTTCAACCCCCACTACCACAAAAAAAGGTATTTTTCCAAATAATACAAACATATTTTATAGCCCTTTTTTTTAGCAGAGCTTAAAGTGAACTACATGTTTCCCCAACAACCCTGGAAGTACTTCTATGCAGTTTGTCAGTATTATCGTTCCGGAACTTAGGACAGCACATGGTTTAGACAATCAACACTCAGATGATAAATTATCCTATGCTCACATCTACTACAGTAAAGACTTTAATAATCAATATTGCATTACCAATTGTTAGGAAAGAAGCCATGGAAGATTAAAGGGAAAACAGAGGAAGATTGCCAGGGGAGAAAAAGTAAAAAAATAAAAGCAAGAAGTGTGCTTGGATCTTAGACTTGAACTTGTGATTCACAAGAGAAACTGACTGACTGAAGTCAAAGCGTTCTCGCACATTGTGTATCTGACCAGAAATCACTATTATTGAGGCAAAGCTTGATGTAACCCTGTGTTCAGAGAGAAGATTGGCCCAAATAATTAGAGGGTGGAAGAGAAAAACATATGGTGAGAAGAGCACAGAGCTGTTGAGTGCTGCTCAACTGATTGAACTCAGCAGCAGCCGCCTGCATTTTCCATCTGCATGTCCATCAGAGGACCAAGGAGTGGGACTATTAATTCTACCTGCTTTTCTCTAGCTACAAGACCACTTCATTACATAGTAATTGAGATTTCATCTTGAGGACAAATAATGACTTACATGAGACATTGTGGACCATGTTAACTGGCAAACAGGCCCTGGAGTATTAATATAACCAATTGGCTTATATTCCCTTTCCACTTCAAAGAAAAAGACAGTCTGATCTTTACTCTACAGAAAAAGAGACAAACATACCCAATGTATATTACTATGAAATCTAGTACATACAGCACAAAAAGCACTTAATGGCATATAGTATTCCCACTCTATACATTTCTTATTTCTAATATTTGCTTCACTTTCCCCACACATTCACATGGTTCTGAAAATGTGATAACCATACTTGCACATAGCATTATTATCACCAAAAATTCCATAAGCCATATGCTCACCTTTTAATACATGAAGAATTTACAGTTATTCTCTTTATTTGTGGCATTTTTATTTGTTTTTTGATTGTTTGCTTGCTTGTTTTGTTGCAGAACTGGGGATCAAACCCAGATCCTCATGCATATTAAGCAAGAGTTCTACCACTAAGCTACACCCCCAGCCAAATGGAAGTTCTAATTAAAAACACACTTAAGCCATAAAATACTGATTTTAAATAACATATGTAGCATGATTCACAGTTGAAAATTTCTATTCATTTAAAATAAGCCTTAGAATTCAATTTTAAGAATATTTTTAAATGTTATACAGAGATAATATTGAAAGAATTATGATATAGAAAAGCAAAATATGAATATATCTTTAGAAATTTAATTTTACTAAATAAGACATAGTCAAGTAGGCAGAGTTAAAAGGCAAGTCATGAAACTTCAACAGGAAATGAAAGGGAAATCTACTTACCCCTGTGGCTAGAATTTCTCCATCACGTTCATATGCTAAAGCAGTGACTTCAGCAGTATGGGGTTTGAAAACCTGTTTCAAATTCAAATCTGCATCCAAAATTTTCTTCCGCCCTGTAAAAACTGCGAGTCCTTTCGGATCATAAAGTTCAAGAATCCGAACAACCCCATCTTCAAATCCTACAATAATCTGTGCGCCACTGTTGCTTACCTTGAAAAAAAATTAAATGCACAGGACCTGAATTTAGTTGAATAAGAAATTTGTGCTACATAAAAATAGATCTATTTTTTTTATTTAGACTTGGGTAATTTAACATGGGCTTCCCTTGGCAACTTTTTGTACCACATTATAGCAACCTCCATCAATTCTAGGACATTTCTTTATCACTAATTGCCACCAGAAGGATGAACAATGGCAATTCAAACATTCAGTGAGCAAATACTAGCACAGTGTCTGCCTACTATATGTTAGGCACCTATCATCAGCAACTCAGGGGTGACTGGCCCCTGATTTCAGAGTTTAATACCCCCATCATCACACAAATGAGTGAGAAATGTGAACAGAAATATGTTCTAATGTAGAAAACATATTCTGTAAGAACATACAACAAAAAAGCTGATCTAGACTGAGGGTTTTCCTAAGGAGAAGATGGCAGAGTTGAGATCAGAAGGAATTAACTGGGTAAAGGAAGGTAGGACAAGAACTTTTGAGAGAATTGGTTATGCAAAGTTTCTGTATCAGGAAAGAGCATAACTTAGGGAAAAGTTATAGTTTGACTGCAGAAGACTAGAGTGAAGAACTGGACAGGGAGAAAGACAGGCATCAGATCACTAAATGGCTTACATAACATACTAAGGGAAAATTTTATCCAAATAATAATGGACAGCCATCAAAAGGTTTGTAGTTAGGGATTGAAGGGGAGTGGGAGGCGATGTAGTCAGATTATTTTAAAAATGTCATCCTACCTGTAAGTGTGGAAAATAGATGTGAGATGGCCTGCATAGGAAGCAGGGACACCTTTTGGGAATTCCAGGAGAACCATGGTGGTCACTTGGTCTGAAGTTGTGTAGTAAAGAAGAAAGTATAATGGTCCTATTGGTAATGAGTGAATGTGGGGGTTGAGACAAAGAAGTGTTGGGGGTGACTGATAATGGAATTGACTAAGATACTCAGACAAGAAACACTGGAAGAGAGCTGGGCATGTGTATGGCTTGTCAATGCTATTGTTGTTTTAGAGGGAAGGATGAGCTGGGTGTGGTGGTGCATGACTGTAAGCCTAGTCATTGTGCAGGCAGAGGAAGGATTGTGAGTTAGAGGCCGGCCTGGACTTTACTGCCTTAAACTAAAGAAGAGGTAAGGATGACTGGGGGTGAGCAGATGATCATGAATTTAGATTTGGACATGCTGAGCTTGAGATCCCTTTGTGATCTCAAAATGGAGATGGCATTCGGCCTGTAACTTAGAGAAAAAATCTGGGCTAGAGATATAAATCTAGCAATGTCTAAATGTACTAACTCTGTTATATTGAAGGCTTCTGGAGGACAAGAATTCAGGCATCATTTAGAGCAGAGTGACCACCCCTAAAGGCAGGCAGTAGTAAGTTTCTTGAGAATAAGACAACAAAATTCCATCCAATTCTGCCTGAAAGTTAGCCACCCCAACAAACATTTATTAAGTGTCTAAATGTACTGGTAATTGTAGAAGAATTGGAGGTGCAAAGATTAAGAGATGGTTATGATAATGAACAAAAGGTCAAGGGGCGGGGTATGGTGGTAAACATCTGTAATCTCAGCTATAAGAGAGGTGAAGATGCGAGGATTTCAGGTGAAGGCTAGCCAGGCAAAAAAGTTGGCAATACTCAGTTCTCAAAAACAAGTTAGGCATGGTGATACACATCTACAGTCCCAGGTACATGGGAGGTAGATGTGGGACAATCAGTCCAAGACTGGCCCAGGACCACAAGCACAAGATCCTACCTGAAAAATAAACTAAAGCAAAAAAAGCTAGCGTTGTGGCTCAAATGATAGAGTGCTTGCCTAGCAAGCACAAAGCCTTGAGTTTAAATCCCAGTACTGTGCCAGTCATGGTGGTGCACACCTGTGATCCCTACTATGTGGGAAACAGAGATCAGGAGGATCGCAATTCCAGGCCAGCCCAGGCAGAAAGTTAGTAAACACCCATCTCAACCAACAAGCTGTCATAGTGTTGTGTGTCTGTGGTCTCAGCCCCTGGAAGGCACAGGAAGGAGGATCATGATCCAAGGTTAGCCCTGGGCAAAAACACAAAACTCTATCTGAAAACTAACTAAAGCAAAAAAGCTGAAGATGTGGCTTAAGTGGCAGAGAGCCTGTCCAGTAAATGTAAGATTCTGAATTCAAACCCTAGTATATGGGGGGACAAAAGAGTACCACCAAGAGAGACAGAAAAAGGAATAGTCTAGTAGAAAAGATAGACAAAAAAGCAAATAATCTTTGTACACAGCCCTAAGGGGAAAAACTCACAGGACATAACTCCACATAAAGGTGGGCTCACAAAGGACTCTGCAGGGGAGGTGATGTTTGGCATGAGCTAAGTCATAAAGAATGATGAGGGGGCTGGTGGAGTGGCTCAAGAAGTAAGATCACCTACCTAGCAAGCGTGGGACCCTGGGTTCAATTCCAGTGCCGTCAAAAAAAAAAAAATTGAAGGAGTCTTTCAGAAAGGGAAGGGGATAGGTAGAAGGGATGTTTTAATTCAAGTACAATATACATATAATCATTACTTGGGTATAAGGTGAAAAAGGAAGCATCTGATGAACACCACACAACCTTCTGAATAAATGGTTTGATCACATAGCTTATACTTTAAAGTTTTCAGGTAAGAGTATAAATAGATTAGGGTAAGAAGTGAGCCACGTCTGCTAATCCAAATGCTCTATCACTTCTACTTATTCTAGCCTCATCTTTGTGCTGGCTCTACTCCCTGCCTAAATTCTCTTTCTGGTGTTGATCACATCTTGAAGTTCCCCACCCACCCATTTCAGTTTTCTCTGCGTCTGTTTTGGCCCTGAAACATTTTCTCTTTGATTTCAACCCAAAACAATGTAGATTAAATACTTTCCAAAATACTTTCACGGCACTTAAAAAGCATGGATGCAAATTGTTTGCAGAAAGGTGAGGTTGAAAGTCCCTCCTCATGAATCTGGGTGGGTTTTGTGACTGTGTAACCACTTTACCCAATTGAGTTTGGAAGTGATATTTTGTCTCTGAGACCAGGTTATAAAAGGCCATGAGGTTCTGCCTTATTCGTTGAAACACTAGCTCATGGAGCTCTAAGTGTGTGTAAAAAGTATGTGACTATACTGTGGTCACCCTGCCATGAAGCCCAAGCCACATAGGGAAGTAAACACTCTTAGATAAACATTCCTGTGACAGTCCCAGCTCGGTACAGCCTTCAAGTCATCCAACCCAGGTGCCAGCCTTGTGATCAAGAAGCCTGTGGATTATTCCAGGCCTCACTCAAGACTTCCCAGCTGAGGCCTCAGACACTCTGAAGCAAAGATAACCCATTCCTGCCGTCACATGTCTGACTTCACAGTCGAAGAGTAAGCAAGCAAAAAGAAAAAAACCTTATTTTTATGTCCCTATAGTTTTGATGATTGTTATATAATAGTAGATAATTGGAACTCCCTATCCTTGCCTATTTTTTCCCATAGCTGTTATTATCCAACAATTCATTTGTTTGGGTTATTGTTGGTCTCCTTCTCCCTCCATTAAAGTGTAGAGTCCGTGAAGACAAGTATTTTTGTCTTTTTGTTCACTGCTATATCCCCACAATCTAGAAGAAAACCCAGAACATTGTAGGCATTCTGAAAATATTAATAGGATGAATTAAATCAGAGACAGGTGGACAGAGAACACACAAAGTTCTGTTGGACAATTACTTTACAACATGGAAATATTACTAATATGCAGGTGACATAAAAATAGAATTTTCATTAAAAACAGAATAAACTACATAAAAATAGCAAGGTGATGATAAGATTTCTATTATATTCCTAATGAAAGAAACTAACTTAAAATTCTTATTCTCCTCCAAAATTTTGAACCAGGAAATAAATATCTACATATTCACAAAAATATCTACATGATTCATTACCAATAGATTCTAAGAAGTTCATTGTAACAACAAACTTACTATTTGAGGAACCCAAGTGAGGGCAGTACCTCCTTGTTTGAATTTCATCTGAACCAAAAAAGTTTGGCAAGCAAAATCATAGATTCGAACAGAACCTATAGAAAGAATAGTTTTAAAGAAACAAATTATAAACATATGATCTCACAAAATATTTTTGCTCACTTTTTACATGCTGAGTATTACAGTAAGAATTGATAAATAAGTAAATCAATTGATAATCCACCAGCCTTTTTTAGTCAAAAATGTCCATACACACCCTCAGACAGGTAATTTATAAGCATGAATAATAAAGAAGACAACTGATGATTGGCTGGTTTCACCTTGCAGCCCACATATTTGCCATAGTTCAAAAAGGAAAAAAGGTGATGGAAAGAATAGGAAGAGTATGGTATGGATAATATGAAAATAAATAGCATTTCCATAAACAATTTACAATAACCAGGGATGCTGTATGTTGTGACTTCTCTACTCTGTGACAATTCACCTCACTCATATTCAAAGAGGCTTCCCTTAAGGAAAAATGCTAAATGATTTCAATCAAACACATTAAAAAATTATGTTGAAAACAAAACAAAAAAGAGTGCATATTTTCATTAAGAGTTCCCACTTACAGTCTAAGGCAGTTGTGGCCATGAGATAAGTAACAGGAGAAATAGCCAAGGCTTCAATAGCTCCAGTATGGAAGGAGAAGAGGCATTCTGGGTCCTGGGTCTGAGAACAGACAAATGGCATACCAGAGCTCAAAGACAGGGTAACATAGAATTAAGATCAAGTTTAAAGAAGTGCAAATGGAATCCTAGGGCATACATGTGATTTTATGTGAATAGAAATAATAAATTGACTAGAAAGATCACTGGACTTTGGAATTAGGAGAACCAGATAGAGTCCTGGTTTTCCACCTAATGACCATGTGATTTTACACAACTCCCTTCAAATGCCATGTTTCATTTCTTCATCCATAAAATGAGACTGGCAGCTGACTGCTTACTCAGCAGGGCAGCTGTGAGGATAACACAGGGAAATACATGAATATCCCACATGTCTGTGGAAAGTGCACGGCATAATGCAGTAGACCCTTGCTTATTTTATGAGAACAGTGATATGATATGGAGAAAGATGAAGTACCTTTAAAAAAATAACAAAGGTTTTACCACAGAAGTTAGGAGAAAATAAGAAAAAATAGGCAACTTACAATATTTGAAAAACTAAGGTCAAGCTTCCATATGGCTCCATTGGCATCCTAAAAAATTAAACAGCTAATAACATTTTATCATATTGAACTTTCATCAAATTAAAATTTTTCCTATACTTTAGTTAAAGTAATAACAAGCAACATCAGAATCTTACATAAAATGTGAGATTGACATTTGATACAAATAACTTCCATATATTGTAGAATACAATCACATAATAAGCAAGGCAATCTCATAATACTTACAGTGAAATGGCCTACCCAGTTCCAAAAATCAATTATACTACTTATTATAATTTTATGTACAGACAATGCTAAAGAACCAAGATAGAAAAATGCAACATACCTGAGCCAACCAAAAGTTATTTCCAACTTCATTCATTTTTATCATGGAGAAGAGTTTGACATTCTTATTTACTTGAAGTTCATTAATAGGCTCGATCTCCAACAATCCAGTTTCATCTACAATATCAGCAGTGTCTATTGTCTCAAAATCCCATATCTTACAAAATTAATAAGAACATACTTTAATCAATTAGTAGTTTCACTTATTTTCTAAGCCAGAAAAGGCTCTGATTTTTTTTTAAAAAGTCATTTCTTATTTCATGAAAATTAACAATGAGTAGGAGCAATTACAACACCAGTCAAAACTCAGCCTCTGGAATTTTACTTTGAACATAGGTATAAGAAATTAATATAGTTTTCTTTGTATTTATAGAGATTAGCAAGGACATACTTTCTTCTATAAGAATTTTGATTTGTCCAAAGTAAGCTTTATTAGAAACTTTCTATTAGGTCTTTCTTATAAAGACCATCTTATTATAAAAGACCATCTTATTATAAAGTGGCCATAAAGAGTAAATGGTTCAGCTGCTCAGCAAGAAATATAATCAACCTTGTAGGGTCCCTAGAAGGGGAAATATAACTTCTTGCTTAATAATTCAAGTACAATCTTAATTATAACAAAAGAAAATTATCTAAATGATGACTCCATTGGAAAAATATTTATCTTCCTTAATGTAAATTTATACCCAACTATCTCAGTTAAGGATTGCTGTTCTTTGGGAGAAGAAATCAGACCACCACAGGAAGAGGGAGGGAATGCAGCATCACCTCCCCATGGTACAGTCAGAAAAGAATTTCTGTGACATGCCAAAGACTACCTTGGGCAGACCTGTTAACACACCTACCATGTTATTCTAGATCAGATGATTCAGATTTGAGGAAAGTAACTCCTGGGAGACTGTTGTTATCCCAAGGACTAAGTTGGTTGGGTAGAAAGGGCCAGCTCCCAGGAATAGACCAATCTCTGGGAACTGGGTAAGTTTTTCCTACAGGGTGAGAGGCTGAGATTTACCACTGAAGAGATGAGGGCGGGCTTTGAGAAGGAAAACAAGCTTAGAAATCAGTGGTGTCCGTGAGAGGTCCTCTATGAAGTATTTAACTTCTTTTCTCTTGAGGTTTTTCTCACTCAGTATTTGGACATTTTGGGGTGATAAATATCTTGGAAAGATAGTGAATATATTACATGACAAAAAAGATAATAAAATATCCTTAGAGCAATGTGTGAAGATTAAATTTAACATTATAAACATAAAAACCTACACTTGAGTTTACACTGAGGGAGATTTGACTTAAACAATTTATTAGACAAAGTAAGCTCAATAGACATCAACAAAACAACCAGATTATTTTTTAGTTATTTTTTATAATTAATATGCATTAATAAAAATAAATAAAATAAAATGCAATCTTATTTCTAATAATACTGCTTAAATAATGTCAAAAGAATTATACTACCGTTTTATGAAAGGCCCCAGAGAGAACATGTACCGAGGGGACTATAAGGCAAAATCATAAAGCTACAAGTTGGCTAGAAACAGTGGAGGCCACACCCACATCCACATGAGGTGGATGGGAGAAGAATAGCAACCAAGGGAACTTAAGTTCAGGAGCAATGGTCCAACTTCACCCAGGTTTTAAGCAAGACAGGTGAATTCCTTAGCGTTAGGAGCAAGAAAAGACTATCATACAAAGGCAAACCCTATCAGCTTAACTCTGAGTATATTTCTAACTGGTCTCCTCACTTTCATTCCTAGAAAATGACCCATTCATACTGGACATTCGGGAAGGACATGTGCTCACTGTTCATATTGTGCTAACATGAGCTTTCACTTTCTGAAGCTATTATTTCAACAACTTAATAAAAAGAATAAGAGATCCCCTCAGAAAGTTTCAGGGCTAAAATGCAGTAAGCTAATTTTGATAAGAATGTAAGTATTTACCACATAAGAAGCATTATTTAAAATGAGCTGGTCTTGGGAATAAATGATCACTGAACTTCTTCATAAAGCAACCTTGATGAGAAGTAAAAATCTGGCAAAATCACTTGGTTTTGTGAGTCTTAGACATAGATGCAACTGCCCAAGAATCCACATGAACACACAAAAAACCCTTACCCTAACACACCCATCTGACCCGGCAGTGATAACTTCACCCTCATCCAGCATGATCTGGTTAATGGGACCGTGGTGACAAGACTTCATTCCAGTTCGACAGAGCTCCACTTTGATGAGACTGCCTTCCCAAAGCAGCAGATTGCCCCATTCAGACCCTGAAAGCACCTGGCAGGTAGGGAGAAAGAAAGAAATATGAATTAAAACAAATGTATGTATTTATGCCTCAAATAGTAGGAAGTTATTTTTTAAAGATTTTTTTCTTGATTATGAAAGTAAAAAGTTTGAATATGGAAAAAAGAAAATGTAGAAATGAAAGCCTACTACCCTATAGGAAGGAGAAAAATAGAGGCCATGAAACAATTTGGGTTATAATACATATATATATGGAAATCTCACAATGAAACTCCCTATATAACTACCTTAAACAAACAAAAATATCATTCTTTTTAAAAAACAGAGAACATGATGGCAAAACAGGTCTTGTCTGGGGGTTGGTACCAGTGGGAAAGGAAGGATATAAACAAAGGATATAAGAGGGTGAATATGGTAGAAATATTATGTACACATGTATATCAGGTAGAAAAATGAGACCTGATGAAACTATTCCAGGAATGGGGGAGGGAGAATAAAGGAGAATAATGGAGGGGGTGAATTCAACTATGATATATTGTAAGAACTTTTATAAATGTCACAATGTACCCCCAGTACAACAATAATATAAAAATATAAAACTTTAAAAAAGAAAGTCTACTACCCTAGACATAGTTACTAATCACATTTTGATGCATTTCTTTTTAGCATTATGTACAACTTTATATCATTATGATTAGGCTACATTTTACTGGTAATTTTTCATATATATATAAAACAAAGGAGTAGAATTACTAGGTTAAAAATTAGAGTGGGCCAGGTGTGGTGGCTCACAGCTGTAATCCCTACTACTTGGGAGACAGAGATAGGAGGATTATGGTTCAAGGTTAGCCTGAGAAAAATTAGTGAGACCCTATTACAAAAAAAGCCAGGGGTGGTGGTACATGCCTGTAAGACTAGTTACGCAGGAGGCAGAGGTAGGAGTTGGTCTGGGCTGGCCCCAGGCAAAAAGGGTGAGCTCTTATTTGAAAACCAAACCAAAGCAAAAGGGCCAGGGAATGGGGTGGCCCAAGTGGTAGAACACTTGCCTTGCAAGCATGTGGCCCTGAGATCAAATCCCAATACTACCAAAAAAACACCCAGAGACACATTTATAGTCTTTAGCAGATGAGATTCTACTTTTTAAGTGTTTTACTATCAAATTTTCTAAGACATTTGATAAGTTGTGAAACCACTGAATTGACTACCTCTAATTAATCTATTTAATCCAGTGTTTCTCAAAGTGCCACCAAACACGATTAGCCTGTGTTTATACTAAGTAATATTTATTGAGCATGGATTTTGTGCCGAGCATTGCTTGAGAGTGAGTGCGCACACACAAACACACACAAAGTTATTTAGTGCTGAAATCTATACAAATTAATTACATTTATCACTAAATCCATGTAAAGCTGTGCATGTTGAGCACTTTGGTTTCACTACAACAGACAGCCTTTTTTCATTCCCACAAAGAACTAATACGGACCAATGGCAACACTGACCATTATCATCCCCATTTTACAGAGGAGAAAACTGAATCACAAAGCAGTTAAGTAACTGGCCCAAAGTTACTGAGAGGAGTCAGGACTCTTGCCCAAGCACCATGGCTCAAATGCCCTGTTCTGACTATACTGACACAGAGGCAGATGCCAAGGTAAATGGTCAAATGTGTTTATTTTTCTTCAATACAGAAATATTTTTTGGAAATCACCAAGAATAATTTCTAGATACAAACAATTTTGACTAGGAAGGACTTGCTTTCACAGCCTTCTGAGAAGATCCATGTTCCATATGATGCACTTTGGGAAACTCTGACTTTCCCTTTGTCAGCCCACTCCAGGGTCCTGCACTTCTACTTCCTTTTTCATATGGAGGGACTTTACTCAGTCTTTCTACCTCTTGGATCTACCTACTTCCACCCATCCTGCCTATTTCACCTACTATTAAACCTCAGCACACGTGTAATATAGTCTATAACAATCAAAAGTAACAAGCATGTCATTGTGTTACTATATAAAAATGCTTACACACTTTATATGTGTGTAGTAATAGCTAGAAAAAAAGTAGGAAATGGTATGTATATATGAATTATGATACTTTCAGGGAACTATTTCAAGTAGAATTGATAACCTGAATAATGTTCATCATATTTATAATTATATCTTATTAACACTGACAGAACTTTTTAGGACATATGATGCATTTTCATGCAAATATGCATTCATATGTCACAATCTTATTTTTGGAGAACAGCAGCAGTGCTCACCTTCCCATCTGGGAGCTCCATATAACCCTCTATATCAGTAGCAGTTGTTTTGCCAAATCGACCTAGTGATCCCTGAAGTTTGAGACCAGTGAATGTAAAAGCCATTTCCCAGAACCTGCAAACAAATAAGAGATCAAATGTACTTCAAGTAAGTTTCATTACTTTTTATTTTAATATTACCCAAATACTTACATACTTCATAATCACATACAATTTCATTCATTCATCTGACTAATATGTAGCATCTACTACCTGTCAGGCAATATGAATTCATCAATGGGCAAAAAGTAGACCAAAAAATTATCTGTCTTCATAGATCTTATATTTTGAGTTATATTGTTTGAAGTAGTAGCCATCAGACATGATTTGAATTTAGATTTAAAGTAATCAACATTAAGCAAAATTAAGAATTCAATGTTTCAGTCCACTTAGACAATTTTAAGTATTCAATAACTACTTGAGGCTAGTGGCTCCTATATGGGACAGCACAGATCATTTCCAGCCTAGCAGAAAGTTCTATTGGACTGCATTAGTGTAGAGGACATAAAAGTTTCCTCCAAAATTCTAATTTACTAGCTATGTGACTATAAGTGATTTTCTTGATCACATTGTCCCTTCATTTTCTCAGATATATAATGAGAATATCAGTAACACCTCACAAATTTGCTGAAAAAAAATTTAGTGCCTACTAATCAATAAATGTTAGCTAATACTAAGTCTAAACAAATGAACAGTCAAAATAATGAAAACTATGTAGTAGTAGTCTAACCAACTAGATATAAAATAGTTAAAGAAAGGCATCAAAAGCCAATAATACAAAGCTAAAAGCCCAAAACATCTTTCTCCCAAAAACTATTGTAGGTCCCCTAATCAAATGCTTCCATGTATTTTGTGTTTTTTTTCATAGCACTTTACATGTGAAATTTATTGTCCAATGTCTGTCTTTTCCCAAAGGTATAGTGTACAGAAAATATACAATTAACTAAATGAGAGGAAAATTTTGCCCCATGACTAGCAGAGTTTCTCAAAAATTACAGATGATGTTTTAAAATCTCATCAAATAATTTGTTGCTTACAGGAGACCCATCTCATTGATAGAAATAAGCATAGGCTTAGGATGAAAGGCTGGAAGAAGATTTGCCAAGCCAATGGCCCCCGAAAACAGGCAGGAGTAGCAATACTTATCTCAGACAAAGTAGACTTCAAACCTACATTGATCAAACGAGATAAAGAAGGACATTTCAGACTAATAGAAGTGGAAATACACCAAAAGGAAATAACAATTATCAACCTATATGCACCCAATGTCAACGTACCCAATTTCATCAAACATACCTTGAAGGACCTAAAAGCATATATTAACTCCAACACAATGGTCGTGGGAGACTTTAACACCCACTATCATCAATAGATAGGTCATCCAAATGAAAAATCAATAAAGAAATCCTAGATCTAAAACATACTGTAGATCAAATGGACCTAGTTGATGGCTACAGAACATTTTATCCAACATCTATACTATATACATTCTTCTCAGCAGCCCACGGAACCTTCCCCAAAATAGATAATATCCTAGGGCACAAAGCAAGCCTCAGCAAGTATAAGAAAACAGAAATTATACCATGCATTCTATCTGATCACAATGCAATAAAAACTAGAACTCAACAACAAAAACAAAGACAAAAAGCATGCAAGCTGGAAACTGAATAATTCATTGCTTAATGAACAATGGGTCATTGATGAAATAAAAGAGGAAATTAAAAGGTTCCTAGAAGTCAATGAAAATGAAAACACAACCTACCAGAACCTATGGGACAAAGCAAAGGCAGTCTTGAGAGAAAAGTTTATAGCCATGAGTGCATATATTAAAAAGACAGAAAGATATCAAATCAATGACCTAACGTTACATCTCAAACTCCTAGAAAAACAAGAACAAGCAAATCCCAAAACAAATAGAAGGAGAGAAATAATAAAAATAAGAGCTGAAATCAATTAAATAGAAACAAAAAAAAAAAATACAAAGAATTACTGAAACAAAAAGTTGGTTCTTTGAAAAAAATAAACAAGATCGACAGACCCCTGGCAAACCTGACTAAAATGAGGAGAGAAAATACCCAAATTAGTAAAATCAGGAATGCTAAAGGGGAGAGAACAACAAACACCATGGAAGTCCAGGAAATCATAAGAGACTACTTTGAGAACCTATATTCAAATAAATTTGAAAATCGTGAAGAAATGGAAAGATTTCTAGATACTTATGATCATCCAAAACTGAACCAAGAGGAAATTAATCACCTGAATAGATCTATAACACAAATGAAATTGAAGCAGCAATGAAGAGTCTCCCCAAAAAGAAAAGTCCAGGACCTGATGGATTTTCAGCTGAATTCTATCAGACCTTTAAAGAAGAACTAATACAAACCCTCCTTAAACTGTTCCACTAAATAGAAAGGGAAGGAAAACTGCCTAACACATTTTATGAAGCCAGTATTACACTTATCCCAAAACCAGGCAAAGCTCCGAGAACTATAGGCCAATCTCCTTAATGAACATTGATGCAAAAATCCTCAATAAAATAACAGCAAAACCGAATTCAGCAACACATCAAAAAGATTATTCACCATGACCAAGTAGGCTTCATCCCAGGAATGCAGGGGTTGGTTCAACATACAAAATCAATTAAACGTAATAAACCACATTAACAGAAGCAAAGACAAAAACCACTTGATCATCTCAATAGATGCAGAAAAAGCCTTTGGATAAGATCCAACACCATTCATGATAAAACTCTAAGAAAACTAGGAATAGAAGGAAAGTCCTCAACATTATAAAAGCTATATATGACAAACCTACAGCCAGCATTATACTTAATGAGAAAAACTAAAACCATTCCCTCTAAAATCAGGAACCAGACAAGGATGCCCACCTCTTCTCCACTCCTATTCAACATAGTACTGGAATTCCTAGCCAGAGCAATTAGGCAAAGAAGAAGGGAATAAAAGGAATACAAATAGGTAAAGAAACTGTCAAAATATCCCTATTTGCAGACAACATGATCCTATACCTTAAAGACCCAAAAAACTCTACTCAGAAAGCTTCTAGACATCATCAATAGCTATAGCAAGGTAGCAGGATATAAAATCAACATAGAAAAATCATTAGCATTTCTATACACTAACAATGAGCAAACTGAAAAAGAATGTATGAAAAACAATTCCATTTACAATAGCCTCAAAAAAATCAAATACCTAGGTGTAAACCTAACAAAAGATGTGAAAGACCTCTACAAGGAAAACTATACACTTCTGAGAAAGAGATTGAGGAAGACTATAGAAAGTGGAGAGATCTCCCATGCTCATGGATTGGTAGAAATTGTCTATTTACTCCCCAAAGTAATCTACATGTTTTTAATGCAATTCCCATCAAAAAATTCCAATGACATTCATTAAAGAGATTGAAAAAATCTACTGTTAAATTATATGGAAAACACAAGAGGCCACGAATAGCCAAGGCAATACTCAGTCAAAAGAACAATGGGAGGTATCAATACCTGACTTCAAACTATATTACAAAGCAATAACAATAAAACAGCATGGTACTGGCACAAAAACAGACATGAAGACCAGTGGAACAGAATAGAGGACCAGATATGAAGCCACACAACTATAACCAACTTGTCTTTGACAAAGGGCAAAAAAATATACAATGGAGAAAAGACAGCCTCTTCAACAAAACTGCTGGAAAACTGGTTAGCAGTCTGCAAAAAACTGAAACTAGATCCATGTATATCACCCTACACCAATATAACTCAAAATGGATCAAGGACTTAATATCAGACCCAAACTCTAAAGTTGGTACAGGAAAGAGTAGGAAATACTCTGGAATTAATAGGTATAGACAAGAACTTTCTCAACGGAACCCCAGCAGCACAGCAACTAAGAGATAGCATAGATAAATGCGACTTCATAAAACTAAAAAGCTTCTGCTCAACAAAAGAAATGGTCTCTAAACTGAAGAGAACACCCACAGAGTGGGAGAAAATATTTGCCAGCTACACATCAGACAAAGGACTGATCACCAGAATATATAGGGAACTCAAAAAACTAAATTCTCCCAAAATTAATGAACCAAGAAAGAAATGGGCAAGTGAACTAAACAGAACTTTCACAAAAGAGGAAAATTCTAATGGCCAAAAAACACACGAAAAAATGCTCACCATCTCTAGCCATAAAGGAAATGCAAATGAAAACCACAGTAAGATTCCACCTCACCCTTGTTAGAATAGCCATCATTAGCAACACCACTAACAATAGCTGTTGGCGAGGATGTGGGGGAAAAAGGAACCCTTTTATGCTGCTGGTGGGAATGCAAACTAGTACAACCACTCTGGAAAAAAATTGGAGGCTTCTTAAAAATCTAAACATATCTGGAGATCTACCGTATGATCCAGCAATACCACTTTTGGGGGTCTACTCAAAAGGCTGTGACACAGGTTACTCCAGAGGCACTTGAACACCCATGTTTATTGCAGCACTATTCACAATAGCCAAGCTATGGAAACAGCCAAGATGCCCCACCACTGACGAATGGATTAAGAAAATGTGGTATTTATACACAATGGAATTTTATGCAGCCATGAAGAAGAATGAAATCTTATCATTCGCAAGTAATGGATGGAACTGGAGAACATCATTCTGAGCGAGGTTAGCCTGGCCCAAAAAGACCAAAAATTGTATGTTCTCCCTCATATGGGAACATTAGATCAAGGGTAAATGCAACAAGGGTACTGGACTCTGGTCACACGATAAAGTGAGAGCACACAAGGGAGGTATGAGGATAGGTAAGACACCCAAAAAACTAGACAGCATTTGTTGCCCTCAATGCAGAGAAACTAAAGCAGATTCTTTAAAGTGACAGAGGCCAATAGGAGAAGGGTACCAGGAACTAGAGAAAAGGTTGGTTTGAGAAGAATTAATTTAGAAGGTAACACACATGTACAGGAAAGCAATGCAAGTCAACTCCCTGTATAGCTACCCTTATCACAACTAGCAAAAACCCTTAGTCCTTCCTATTATTGCTTATACTCTCTCTTCAACAAAATCAGAGATAAGAGCAAAATAGTTTCTGCCTGGTAGTGAGGGGAGTGGGGAGGAGAAGGAGGGTATGGGGGGAAGGGGGGGCAAGGGGGGAGAAAGACCCAAACATTGTATGCACATATGAATAAAAGAAAAAAAAAAAGAAGCAACAGAAAAAAAAATAAAATCTCATCAAATATTTCCAATGAGTAAAAAATAAAAAGAAAAGATTTAAATTGGAACAAGACGAATTTCAGATAAAGTATGTTTCACTTAAATAGATACTGTGCATCAAGACATGAGCAGCTCTGAGGTGGTGGTAAAAAAAATGTACATGGGATAGGGTAGAACAAAGAGAAGGATAAAATCATTTCATCCTGGGAAAAGGCCACGGGTGAAAAAAGCAGGGAATTTGGAAACAGAGACGTGGAATCAAGAGTAGATTCTGCTACCATTTTGTATTGAAGATTTCTTGTCAGGAATGACTATGAAAATTCTTGTTTTATAGATGAAGACTAAGTTAAAAACTGTAGAAAGGATGGGGCAAGATGGTGGATTAGAAATGTCCTCCATTTTGGCTCCAGAAATGAAAAGAGTTGTCAGATAACACAACAGAGATCCATTGTGAAGAGAGAAAGAGAGGAAGAGCATCAGGAATCACAAAAGAGGTGGTAAGAGAGCAGAAAAACATGGAGAAACAGAAAGGCAAGAAAGAAAAGCAGAAAACAGTACCAAGCTCCATTTTGGGTTCACAAGGGGAAGCCAAAGACATAATCATAAGGTAAGCCAGACAACCTTGGCTATATACTGGCAATTCTAGTTGCAGGATAAGTCCATACTTTCTGAAAGCCTGAAACCCAGTGTGGAATTAGGTAAGACAGTGACTGCTCCAGTGTGGAAGGCTAGCGTCAGTGAAGAAAGACAGTTTGTCACTCCCCTTATCTTGCAGAGCTATAACAAGGTGCCCTCTTGAGAAGAGACCTATTGAGACTGAGCTACCCTAGGGTCTTGAAAACAAGGAATAATCAAGCCTCAGGGAGTGTTGGGAAAACCTGCACAGTATCTGCATGGGAGATGGCCATGAGAGGAGGGAGAGGGAGAATGTCTGACATGGTCAAAGAATCAATGAAACAAAAAGTTGGTTCTATGAAAAGATAAAAAAGATTGATAAACCCTTAGCTAATCTGACTAAAAGGATAAAAAAATAAAACTAGAGGTGAAAAGAGAGATAACAAAACAAATACCAATGTAATCCGGAGGAAAATGAGGAAATACTTTGAAAATCTATATTCAAACAAACTGGAAAATCTAGCAAAATGAATAAATTACTAGATGCATTTGACCTACCAAAATTGAACCAAGAAGATATAAGCCACCTAAACAGATCTATACTAAGCCATGAGATTGAAGCAGTAATAGAGTCTCCCAACAAAGAAGAGCCCTGCACCAGATGGAATCATTACTGAATTTTGCCAGACTATTAAAGAACTAACTTTCATAAAATAGAAAGAAAAGGAACACTACCAAACTCATTCTATGAAGCCAATACCAAAACCAGATACAAAACCACAAGAAAAAAGAAAAATTATGGAGCAATTCCTTGATGAACATAGACACAAAACTTCTTAATAAAATACTCACAAACTGAATTCAACAACACATTAAAAAGATCATATACAATGATCAATGTGATTTCATTCCAGGAATGCAAGGATGGCTCAACATATGCAAATCAATAAATGTAATACAGCACATAAACAAACGAAAGACAAAAACTACAAGATAATCTCAATACATGCAGAAAAAGCCTGTAACAAAATACAAAATTTTGTTCATGATAAAAACCCTAAAAAGACTAAAAATAGAAGGAACATATCTCAACATAATAAAGCCTTCATATAACATAACTATAGTAAATATCATACTAAATAGGGAAAAATTAAAACCATTTCCTCTAAAGTCAGGAATAAGACAAGGGTGTCCACTCTCTCCACTCTTATTCAGTATAGTTCCTGGCCAGAGTATTAAGGCAAGAAAGAAATAAAAGACATAAAAATAAGAAAGAAAGAAGTCAAATTATCCCTAGTTGAAGATGATATGCCCCTATACTTATAAGACCCCAAAGACTCCATCAGATAATTTTTAGATGTGATAAACACTTTTAGCAAAGTGAGAGAATACAACAAAATCAACATGCAAAAATCAGTAGCTCTTCTATACATCAATAAGGAGCAGGCTGAGAAAGAAACAAGGAAAACAATCTCATTCACAATAGCCTAAAAAAAATTAAATACCTAGAAATAAGCTAAAAGGAAGTGAAAGACTTCTATGATGAAAACAATAAAACTTTGAAGAAGATACCAGAAGATGGAAAGATCCATACCCCGCTCCATGTCCATGGATTGGCAGAATATTGTGAAAATGGCTACATTACCTAAAGCAATCTACAGATTCAATGTAATTCCCATAAAATGTCAATGTCATTCTTCCCCAAAACAGAAAAACCAATCCTAAAATTCATATGGAAGCACAGAAGACCCCAAATAGCCAAAGGAATCCTGAGAAAAAGAGCCATGCTGGAGGTATCACAATAGCTGACATTAAATTGTTCTTCAGAGCTATAAAAACAAAAAGAGCATTGCACTGGCACAAAAATAGACACATAGACCAATGGAATAGAATAGAAGATCCAGAAATAAACATAAACAGCTACAGCCATCTAGTTTTCTACAAAGGTGCCAAAAACATGCATTGAGAAAAAATAACTTCTTCAACAACTGTTTGTTGGGAAAACTAGATGTCCACATGTACAAAACTGAAACTAGGTTCCTGTCTCTTATCCTGTAGAAATGTCAATTCAAGCTGGGTACAGTGGCCAGCTAATCCAGAGGAAGAAATTGGGAAGATCACAGCTCCAGGCCAGTCCAGGCAAAAATCAGCAAGACCCCATCTCAATCAATAAGCTAGGTGCAGTGACATATGCCTGTGATCCCAGACACATGATAGGCTATAGATAGAAGGATAGATGGTCTAAGGCTGTCTCCAGACCAATAAACAAACAAACAAACACCACATGAGAACCTACCTGAAAAATAACTAAAGGGAAAAAAAGGCGGGGGTAGGTACTGGGAGCATGGCTCAAGTGGTAGAACACCTGCCTAGCAAGCATGAGGCTCTGAGTTCAAATCCCAGTAACACCAGAAAAAAGAAATGTGGTATATAGGCACAATGAAGTATTATCTAGCCATAAAGAAGAATGAAATTATGTCATTTGCAGGAAAATGAATAGAATCGGAAATCATCAAGTTAAGTGAAATAAGTCAGACCAAGAAAGACAAACATTGTGTGTTCTCTCTCATATGTGGAATCTAGACCTAAAAATACATGAATAACATAAGTGTAAAATGGGGACTATTTGGGGTGGGAACCAGTGGGAGCAGGGAGAGGAAAAGGAGAGGATGAAGGAGGGTAAATATTATCAAAGTACTTTATATGTATGTATGAAACTAGAATAATAAAACCAACTAAGATTATTCTCCAAAGGGGAGATTGATCAAAGTACATCAATGCATGTGTGGAAATGTCACAATGAAATCCTTTTGTACAATTAATATATGCTAATTAAATATATACAGATATGTAAAGACACTATACAAACTCTTTTAAGAAGATAAATCCTATGAGAAGGCAGAAGGCTAATTTAAAAGCCTTCTTTTATCTATGCTATCTTTGGAAATAAAATTTCACATGTCTAATTAGAAAAAGTACACTACTGGTTAGTTTTAAAAACAACACATTTTGAAATTATTCTAATTTTAATAACAGCAAAAAATCTCCAGGTCTTAGATCCTCCTAGAAAATACCCTTACAATATCTGCTCGTACCTCTATTGATCGCCTAACTTACTTGATATGGCCTGATCCCGACGTAGTGAGTTGCTCATCATCTTCAGGATTGAAAGTAACCTTAAAAACTTCCTGAGAAAAAGCTTTTTTCCTCAGTATGGGTTTCTCTTCTTTCCAATTCCAGATGGTCAGCATGTAATCAGGGTGGCTACCAACGGTGGCCACCAAGGTACCACTGTAGTTAAAGTCCACATAAGCATATGCATTCTCAGTACCATCTGGAAGGATGAACGGGAGTCTAATAAATAAGGTAACACACGTCCATTGTCAAAACCATGTCAGAAAGACTGAGACAGAGGAGAGAGAGAATGCCCCTAGGAAGAATGCCAAGAATTCCCTAAACAACCAATTCTACAATCATTCATTCATCACCCTTGGCTTTAGGATGGATCACATGATATAAAACAGGAGAGTGAAGACATCATAACCACATTTTGCATTAAAAAACACTTCATGGACATATTTCATCTTATGAAAGAGAGACTCAAAAGTGTGTTAGATAGCAGAGAGAAATCTATCTATAGTTACAGTTATCACTAAACTTAAACAAAAATTGACTACTAAGATTAGTTATATGAAAAACAGGACTATAATATGTTTGTGATGGTTAATTTTATGTGTCAACTTGGCTAGCTTGTAATACTTACTCAATTAAGTAAGTATTTAGAGGTTGGTATTAAGATATCTGTGGACATGGCTAATAAAACCAGTTGATTTTAAGAAGCATATCCCTGATGAAAGGTGGACCTCATCCAGTCAGTTGAAAAGGCCTTGAATGTAAAACTGAGGATTTCCTGAGGAAGAAGAAATTCTGCCCGAAGACCACTCCATCAACTCCTTCCCAAGAATTTCCAGCCTGCAGGTCTGACCTACAAATTTAAGACTTACCTGCCTCTACAACTGTATAAGCTAATTCCATTAAATAAATCTCTCTCTCCTACTAGTTTTTGTTTCTCTGGAGAATGCTGATTAATTCAATAACCTCTTATCTTCTATTGAATGTTGTTTACCTTGGATATAGAATATTTTAAAGATTCTACAGGACTCACCTTGAAGGATTCTGTAGGGCCTCAGAGAAGGATATTCATAGATGATAACCTTTGGAAAACTCCCCTTTTCAGCTACTATGAAGTAAGTTTTATGTGGATGAACCTACAAAAAAATGGAATCTCACTAAAATATTAAAGAGAGAATTTTCATGTAGGCAATCCTATTCATGCAGTATTTAATGGCCATTATTTTATAATTGGTTAATTAGGATTCATTCCAACAGAAAACTCAAAAATGGCCATCTGGAAAACACTTGATGATGGATAGGATTTAAACTGAAAATAAGAAGTAAAGAAAAAACTTTAAGGTTTGCTTTCATTAAAACAGTCATTTCTAACTACAATTTTTACATTGCCATTAGAGAAGCTCAAATACCATTTCTCCATCATTCGTGTCCAATAGAATCACTTGAAAGGCTTATCAAAATATACCACAGCCCTCCCCAGAGTTTCTGAATTTATAATTACATTTCTAACAAATTCCAAGGAGATGCTGCTGCTGCTTTGGGGTCTGTGCTTTGAGAACCACTAAGTTGGATGAATTGTTTAACTTGCTTATAAGTCAATCTAAATTTTGCATAGAAAAATTCATGAAATGTCTGTGACTTGGCCAGTCTCCTGCTGATACAGCAAAGTACCTGAAACCAAGTTACTTATGATGAATAGAAATTTATTTGGTTTACGGTTCTAGATGCCAGAAAATTGACCATTGAGGGGCCACATGTAGCAAGGGCCTTTGTGTTGGGTCATCCCATGGTGTAAGTTGGAAGAGTAAGAGAGGACGAGGGCAAGAAAGCAAGAGGGTGCCAAATTCACTTTTGTGAAAAAAAAAACCTACTTATTATAGTAGTTAATGCACTTCTTCAGTAATCACATTAATCCACTCATATCCTAATCACCCCCTAGAGACCCCCCCCCAACACTACTGTATCGGGTATTATGTTTCCAATGCATGCACTTTAGAGGACACATTCAAACCATACCAATATAGAACTCATGATTCCTGAGTCAATTATATGCCAATTTAAAAATTTAAACCTTGGAAAAACTGACCAGAAATGACAATAAACTTAATATAAGTGAGAAAGATACAATGTTTCCAAGATAGACACAGAGGAAAATAGAATAAAATATAAAATATGCCCTAAACTACTTGTGTCAGCATTTCAAATGATAGCCATATAAGTTAGATGGAATTATATGTTCATTTCTGTTATTTTTGGTCATTGGTTAAGTCAAATGTGCTAGAAGAGTAAATAGCCAAAAAACTAAAACTATGAATAGACTGCTGTAAGAGTCAGTATTTAAAACACATATTGGACTTGTAAAATTCTAGTTTCAGTTGTTTTACAACTCCTGACTACAAATCCAAGGACAGGGGGTTGGCTCTCAGATACAGATTGCAGGTACTGATACCTAAGCTCCTTTCTTCCCTCCGCTCTTAAAGGGACCAGAAGACCTATGATGAACTGACTACCTCTTATCTTTCCATTCAGGTAAAGTCCCATCACTGGGACTTGAAACAGGCTTAGGTTTAGAAGGACATTCAGGGAGATAATTGTGACACTGAATACAGCTAACATTTATTGAGTGCTTACTATGTGCCAGACACATAGTAAGTTAAGTTTTACACACATTAATTCCTTTAAATTTTATATCAACCCTGTGAGCATAGACACTACTATCATCTCCATCTTATTGAAAAATAAACTGAGGAACAGAGTACAAATAATTTGCAGTCACAGAAGCTGTGGTGTGGTAAGTGTGAGGGACAGGATTCCACCAGATGTTGAAGCCAAGAAGCAAATGAGATTAAAAAATGTAGATCCCAAGAGATGGAAGAAATGGATTAACTATATCTGTCTAGATCCCCATTTACAAAGAAATTTTGTGTGTCACAGATATCTCAACGGAGACTCAGGCAAACCCTTTTTCTTCTGGGTCTTGTCTATAGTGAGTGAAAACTGTCTGCTCACTCAGATTGGAAGCTGCTGTGGGGTTGAGTTTGGGTGTTTTGTTTTTAGTTGAGAGCTGGAATTAGTAAGTCACTTACTTTACACTCAATGTATAAATTCTCCCTATCTTTTCTGGAAAATAGTGTACATGCCCCAAACACGTTTCTCACAGCCTTGCAAAAGCATTTCTTACCCTCAACTGGATGTTTCAGAAAAGACACAATGGAGAGGCCTCTGTCACTATCCAGGCACTATTAGTACACATGAATAAAAACTTTGTGAACATAAACTGCTCAACATCCAGATAGATGTTGAATTAGCATTCTTGACCACACTACACCTCTGAGAACTGTCCTCAAACAAAATTATTTTATAATGAAATAGAAAAACAGAATTTTACAGACTATTAATTGCCATAAAATGATAGCTAAATATGTTATAGATATTCTTAGTTTTTTGTAAATAGTGTGGTTGGTCTTTAGGCTCTTGATAACTCATGGTCTCTGACTGGACCTCCTTCTATAAAATCAGTGACCCTCATGTTGGGTCTATGATGATTTTCACCCAGCTATTGCCATATTATCGTGTACTTATGTGTCGGGATATATGTCCACACATATATACCTACATGTATATGTACATATATGTATGTGTATACATATATTTTTTTTCTCTTTAGATGGGTTTTAAACATTTATAGAGCTCATGAATTCTTCTTCTTTTAAGTTCTCCCCTTCAATCTTCCTTTAAATCCTTCTACATAGTATTGTATGTATATAATAAATTCTTGCTGAACTTATTGATAAGTCTTAAAAACAAACTTTCTGAACACAGGGACTTTTTTATTTTTGGTGGCACTGGGATTTGAACTCAGAACTTTATGTTTGCTAGGCAGGTACTATCCCCCTTGAGCTACTTCACCAGCCCTTTTTGAGTTGGGTATTTTCAAGATAGGGTCTAGAGAATTATTTGCCTGGGCTGACTTTGAACTGTAGTCCTCTTAATCTCTGCCTCCCAAGTAGCTAGGATTATAGGCATGAGCTCCTAGGCCTTGGCAGGGACTTTTAATATATACACATACCATCTAGAACAATGATCAAGAAACAAATATGAGACTATTTTTCACTCCATACATCTCACCATATCCTGTTTCCATATCTCTACGTCCTATCTCTGGGTCTCATATTTTCCTTACTCCCCTCCCACTGCCATGTACCTGCTTCAGTCCTCAGATTAAGAATCTTCAACACCTCCTCACTCAACTCCACTTATAATCTAAAGGTAAAAAAATCTGCATGACCTAGGAAAGTCATTTAACCTCTAAGGTCCCAGCTTCCTTAGCTGAAAAATGGAATAATAATGTTACTAACATATTATTAAAATATTGCATGGAAGCAATATTAGTGTATGTAGTGGCTGCAGGAACTGGTGTGAAAATGTCTTGTAATAAAGATAGCTATGCAGCTCATGTGATCCCACAATACCACGCATGGTGTTGGCACTTAACAGTCATCGTTTGCTAGTCCACAGAAAGATATAAAGGATTTTTTTTAAAGTTACTAAAGGCATACCCCAATGGCACCAATTCCTTCACCACTGCTACTTCGCAGGTAGATCTGTTCCTTGGTTTTAAAATTCAGAAGGACCAGTTGGTTCCCAGCGATGTACGTCAGGGTACTGCTATCTAGAAGATGCAGGTTGGCTCGCTTTCTGCAGTCATAACCAAAACAGTGTCTGAGGGAAAGTTGCTAAGGAAAAAGAGGTGAAACAAAATAACCATCCTAGGGATAGGAAAAATGATGAAACATGCATATTTCAAAATCATGTTCTTAGATAAAGATTTGAGGTTGAATAGGGATAGGAAAAATGATGAAACATGCATATTTCAAAATCATGTTCTTAGATAAAGATTTGAGGTTGAATTTTACTCTGAAACTCATAATTTTTATGCATATTACTAACAACTTTATTTTTTAGTTAGGTGAGAAATCTCATATACGGATTTAGTTACTTTTTAAATTTTCCTCAATACTGAAAATAGCTTTAGTTGTTTTTATAGTAATAGATAATGTTAAACCTTCTACTTGGGTATTATTTTCCTCTCTACCACTGAAACTAAATCCCACTACACAACATGGGACAGAGTCCATGTCTTCATCTTTGTGTTCATAATGCGCATAATAAAAATATCATATAGACCTCTTCCTAGATGTGGAATGACAAGATATTTAAAATTCTGACATTTGTGAAATTCTAACACAACATTTGATAACATAACTACTGTAATAAATGAACATAAATATAATTGAAATTTAATTCATATAATTAAATTATGAAAATCAACTAAACATATGGCATGTAAACTTACATGTAATTAATAACCCAACATTTTATTTCCAAGGATGTTAGTATGTATATTGGTGTGTAGGCAAGTATGTGTGTATTTATGTTTGTTAGAGTAAAATTTCAGTAATTCAAAATATAAAATTTTAAAATATGAATTATATAAACACCTTGTAATATACAATGTTACTACATTCAAATTAATATAATCCAAGATATAAACATAACAACTAAATGAGATGGTAACCAAACATATGAGAAAAAAGAAATATACAACACAGCATATTTTTTTTTTTTTCAGTATTGGGGCTTGAACTCAGGGACTACACCATGAGCCTTTCCACCAGCCCTTTTTTGTGAAGGGTCTTTTCGAGATAGGAACTCGTGAACTATTTCCCCAGGTTGACTTTGAACCTCGATCCTCCTGATCTCTGCCTCCTGAGTAGCTAGGATTACAGGCGTGAGTCACTGGTGCTCAGCTATACAGCGTATTTTAAGTAGGTAGGTCCTTCACTTATAAGAATTCATTATTAGCCAGGCACTTTCTAAATCACAACTTATCCGAGTATTGAGATTACTTCTCACATCTCTATTTCCCAGGATACATAGCAGTGTCTTAAGACCATTAGGTGTTCAATAAATATTTGTTGAATGTATTAATTAATTAAATACATAAGTAGAGTCTGTTCCTTTCCCTTTAACTCAGTCCCTTAGCAGACTTTTGAAATGTTAAAATGTGTACCTTCAATTCCCTTTTTTTCTTTTCTCACTTTCTCTTCTGACTTGCCTCCTCTTAACTTCCAGTCAGAGACCTAGAGCCTTTAATGTTTGCCCATGGCCATCTAGAACTTCCACTTTAAAACTGTTTAAACACCATGTTAAGTTCTATTTAATGCCTTCTGTAAATTATGCTATGGTTTATGTAATATCTTATAAATGGCACATTTCTTGCAAAAATAAATTGATTTAAAAGATGTTTTAAAGCTAAAGTAAAATCAATGTAATTATTAAAAGACTACTTAAGGGATTTGTGATGGTTGACTTCCTCTTCTTAGAGTTTCTCACAGGTTATAGAGATTAAATTTGTTCCATCACCAAAGAGTAGAACTAAGTCCCATGGGAGCTATTCAAGATGGGAAGATTTTGATTTAAGGTCTCAAAGAACTCTAATAGTGTAAGCTATCCAAAAATGGTATGAACCACTTGTGATTTCCCTGGTGTTGAATGAGCTTAGGGAAAGGCTGTAGCTTATCTAGCAGTTATCCAACTGAGTAGAAAAGATCCACCCATCAGAAGAAAAGTCGAAGTCCTTCTGACCACTGTGCAGAATGTAAGCATGTCTCTACTGCAGAAGGGGCAGCAAGTCCCCAGGGTTGGGGACAGGAAGAAGGAGCATGTGAAAAACTACCTGGAAGGTTTTCAGCATATATAAGTCCAAGTCCTTCTCCACACAGAAGTAGCACAGTAGGGGCAGGAAAGTATTGAGCAATCAGTACTTCAGGAAAAGTTTTCAGGAACTCTGATATACCAGCCTTACCCCATTTGAAACTAACAGGCTAGGAAAAAGAAAATTGTCTATCTTTTGTCAGAAACTTGTCCAAAGACAAAAAAAGAGAAAACCCTAAAGAGAAAAAATTCTGTTACAAAATGATCCATGGTGAATTAGTTTAGTCACACCTGGGTTTGAATCAGAGTTAGAAGGTATATTAACATTACATTTTATGCAAAAGCAAGATCAACTCAGGAAGTATGTCCCCCTATTGCTGTAAAGCACACCTTTTATAAGAGGTCATACAGTGGCTTAGGCGATACAATAATAACTACCACCCATCTGAAGGAAAGCTGAGGATAGTAAAAGAAATTGGTCTTCCAACTACTAGCCTCAAAAATCTATCATAAGTAATGATAAACAATAAATTCTCTCGTCAACCATCCCCACTTTTACCAGTCTTTTCACAGACTCTTATTCTCCAGATCAACAAACTAAAACCTGCTATTTTGTGCCCTGTTTTGTCTATTCTGATATATCATCTTCTCTGATAATTCCTCAGATACAATGTGAAAGTACTGAAGACTGACAATAGCCACATCATTGTTTTAAGAAGAGAAATAAATGATTCAACTCAACAGGCCAGGATGGTAGAGGAGATAAATGGCAAAGAAGAGGCCTTCTGGTCTCCTTCACATCCCGCCTTTTCCAACTGTGCAAAGAACATCCAGGAAAGCATTGTTGCTCCTTATGGTTATCTGGCATAAAATAAAAAGCTTAGTTTAAGATGAGATCATGTCTTTCTATCTCAACACAGAGGTTGGTAAACTTTTTCTGTAAAGTGCAGGTACTAAGTATTTTATGCCTTGTGAGCACAAGGTCTTTACCACAACTACTTAACTCTGTCCTTGTAGTGCGATTATGGCCATAGACAAAATGTAAATAAATATGACTGTGCTGCAATAAAACTTTATTTACAAAAGAAAGCTGGAGGTCAAAGGAGCTTGCTTATTGGGCTCTAGTTAACTGACCTCTGGCCTAAGAAGCTAAAATCCCCAGATTGTACTTATGTAGTGCGAGTGGATACACAAGCGTTAGAAAATCCAGTGGTATGTTCGAGTCCGGAGTTACAAAAGGCATTGAAGCAAGCTCAGAGTAATCGTAGAAGAAGGTCTCAGATATTTTCGTCACAGCTTCCTCCTCTGCCTCTTCTGCAGCTGGTTCCTGAGATGCTGAAACGTGAAAATATTTTAACAAAGAAGAGTTAAAATGTTGGATCCTAAAATTGTATTTCCCAAGGACAGTAGGAATGTGCATAACCTGAAATATACTAGCAGTAAGTACTAGTACACTGAACATGAGATGCTACCCACTAAATAAGCATGGGAGGAAGAGCCACCACGCTTGCGCACATATCAGAGGCAAAGGCTGAGCACTGGTCAGGATTTCAACAATCTCAAAGAGCAATGCTCAGTAAGATTCAAGGGAGAGTTGGAGAACTCAACTAATCTGGGTTAGAACACCCCTTAGAACATGTCAACATCCAGAAGGTCAAGTATAAGAGCACTGTATGAGATCTCAGAAGTGGAAATACACCTCCGATGCTGCCCATCTATCCTACTGTAATATGTGCCATGTTTTTCCTTTCATCTGCACAAATACCTATATCCTGCAAATATTTCTTTTTCTAGAACATAATTGTTCAATTTGTCTGGACAATTTATCTTTAAAACAGTGATAATTACTGACAGAAAATAGTAATACTAACTTCTACCACTTTCAAGATAATCTTCATTTAAACTTGTACTTTCTTCCAAACCTTCCAGATCTGAGTCTTCTCCATTGAAATATGAGTCTTCCCCTTCGGTAAGTGTTAAATCTGTGGCATCTTCTAAACCTTCTTTTGTATGAGCTATTAAAAATAATTTGTTTTAGTAATTCTTCAATTTTAAATTAAACATTTTCTTATATTCAAAGTAATGAAAACTTGCAATTTGTGCTCTAAATTTGATAAATTTCCATACTTAAAAATGCCTAGAGGGAGCATTTTATTTGATCAGTCTTTACAAAACTTTACAAAATGAAAAGGCCTTTTCTGTGAATTCATCTCCATTTCACTTCATTTTCAGTCTATTTCCAGTTACCACATACTAAAAAGAAAGTAAAAGATAAGAAGGAATGGAAATTGAGATGGTTCCAGGTACCAGCCAGCATTCAGATCAAGTCCAAACATGGGCACAATTAAAATATACATTATCAAGCAGGTGAAAGAAACAGGGGTAGGGAAGAGAACAGGATATGGTACAATGACTTTCAGAAGGACAAGGAAAAAATAGAATGTTCACCAGAGCTACTAGAGCTCTTAGGTGAAGCTAAAGGCTAGGGACAAGGCCCAAGACTAATGAATGGCACAGAAAAGCTGAGCCAAGCCAATCAACTGGACAGCAGGACAGGAATCTATAGGATGTACGCATTTGATGGAAAGACCCTAATCCTAAGTCTTTGAATAGACCAAGCACATGGCTTGGATTCCTTGACGGAAGACCCTGGGGAACTGTTCTCCAATGACACCTGAGCTCTTTCTTGTGACTGTGGCAACCAAAACCTATTTCCTTATCTCAAGGTTAGGGTATTAAAAGCTTAAGCTTAAATTTTGCCTTCTCCCTAGGAAAGAAGTTAAAATTGCAAGCAGATAGACAGCCACTGATAAAAGAATTAAGAATGACTATAGATGAAGAAGAACAAATGCTTTTAAAAAACAAATATTTTAAGCTAAGAAAAAGGGTAGTATCACTGATGCAAAAGTGGAGTTTGCAAAACAAACAAATAAATTTGGCAGGAAGTAGGTGCATTAAATCAGTCTACTAAAGCAGCATATCCAGGCAAGTTGGTGATAGCTAGGGGTTTTATATATATATATATATATATATTTTTTTTTTTTTTTTGAAAACAATGAGACAAGAGTAACTTTTATGTGCCAGGAGCTGGCACCAATGACTGAAACATAAAGTCTACCCTTCACGAAATTAAAAGGTTTGTAAGGGGATTCAACAAGCAAAACATTTTTGCTCTGTTCATATTCAGGTATGGAACTCTTTCAAAAGCATTTCACCTCACTTGAATCATTAAAAAAGTGTATATTACCATTTTTACTTACATTTAGAAGATGACCTCCCGTCACTCTTTGATTTATCTGATTTCCCCCCATCAGTATCCTGATCATCTGGTTCCTTCATGTTTTCTACAAATAAAAAATTGAGATATGAAATAGAACTTAACAGATTTTTTCCCCTTAACAGATTCCACGAGCATGAAACACCAAGTGTGTTGGTAATTCCATGTTTGTAGTATCCAAGATAAGTCACCAGCAGGAAGTTATCGCCACCATCAAAGACCTCTGCAAACAAACAAACAAACAAACAAACAAATTATACTCATAGATTCCATTTCTCCAGGCAAACTCACCATTCTGGTTCTCTCTGGTCTTTCAGAGATCCACAGTGAAACACACTGCCAAGTGCATCTTTCCCCCAAATGCTCGCCCACTAAAATTAATCCTCTTCCATCTGTCAGTAGGTTCATGCCTCCCTCTCGCTCTTCCCATTATCAAATTTCCCCAGTATAGGAATCAATTTCAACTTAAATATTTTTGTTGAGCACACTTAGTATGTATCAAGTTCTATGTCAGATACTAAATTACCAGACTGAAGAAGAAAAATAGTTGCTACCCTTTTAGAGCTTATTTGAAATATAGGTATTAAATAAGCGTAAAATATAGCAAATGCTACCTGAAATGAAAATGAAAGAATGAGGTGCTGTGGGCATGGATAAGCTAAGTTTTAAGCTATATTTGAGGCATAGGGAGGAGGCATTTGAGACACAGATGATGACTTGGTCAGACATAGAATGGGGAAAATCATGTTAGACACAGAGGACATCCTACAAGGGTAGAATGCAGACTACTGTCTAGACTAGAAGAATGAAATGAATATGAAGAAGAGGCAGGTAGATAACAAAATTGTCTCTAATCTTCCATAAGAAGTTTAGGTCTTATTTCTATAACAATTGAAGAGTTTTAAAGTAGGAGCAACACTGTAGTTTTTCTCCGTCTTCCGCCTCTATCACAGCTCTTCATGTACTGTACTTGAAAACACTTATTAAATATCCCTTCTAAGTCTTCACTTCTCCTCACTAAACATCCCAGGTTTCCTGCACATTCTTCTATGGAATAATTGGCAGGTAAAATCAAATAATTGTTCTATTTGGATCAGATTTGTGGTTAGATTCAGGTTTGAATCTCAGTATTGCCACATAGCATGTTAAACTTTACACCAACTCCTCAACTATAATGGGAATGAAGTAAAAACTACAGAGAAGGTTAACATGAGGATTACTTGAACCAGCACTTTATTAGACTTTTTGGTCTCTGAAGATAGACTAGTGCCAAAGCAGACAAAGTACATTCTACACAAGTAGTGATCAGTATGACTAACTCTCCTCAGCTGGGCATTTGGGGGACTTTTCTGCTTTCTTGCAGTGACATTGTAATGATGCCTTCTCTTGATTTGGGGGATGGGAGTACCACGTCCAAATGTTTTTTCTGTAAACTATTATCAAGAATATATTCCCTAACATGTTATTCATGCTCAAGGTAATATTTTATCTTTTAAGAAAGTGCATGTCACCCATGTTTATTGCAGCACTATTCACAATAGCCAAGTCATGGAAACAGCCAAGATGCCCCGCTACTGATGAATGGATTAAGAAAATATGTTATTTATACACTGGAATTTCACTCAGCCATGAAAAAGAATGAAATCTTATCATTTGCAAGTAAATGGATGGAACTGGAGAACATCATTCTGAGCGAGGTTAGCCAAGCCCAGAAGACTAAAAATTGTATGTTCTCCCTCATATGCGGTCTTTAGATCTAGGACAAATGCAGCAATGTTAAAGGACTTAGGTCACATGCTAAGGGGAGAACACACATGGGAGGTATGGGGATAGGTAAGAGACCCAAAACATGATAGTATTTGATGTCCCCACTGCAGAGTAAATAATACAGAAACCTTAACATGACAGAGGTCAACACGAGAAGGGGATCAGGAACTAGTGAAAAGGTCAGTTAGAGATGAATCAACTTGGGATGTAACACATTTGTACATGGAAGCAATGTTAGCAATCTCTCTGTATAGCTATCCTTATCTCAACTAGCAAAAATGCTTTGTCCTTATTATTGCTTATACTTTCTCTTCAACAAAATTAGAGATAAGAGAACAGATTCTGCCTGGAAGTGAGGGGGAGTGGAGGGGGAGTGGAAGGGGGTGGGGGGGTAGGGAGGAGAAATGGCCCAAACAATGTATGCACATATGAGTAAACAAATAAAAAAGAAAGTTTCAGCCAATAGGAGTGCAGGCCAACCTCACCAAGCATCATATCAACTCCTGAAATTGCCCTATTTGGGGAATGGGGGTAGGTGGGCAGGGGGAGGCCTAGATTTACTAACTTCATTATATTATTTCCAACAGTGTTTATGTCTTTCAGTTTATGTCTTATTAAATATTCATTATTTTTGAACTCCCCCCCCAAAAAAAAAGAAAGTGCATGTGATATTGGGGATTTTTTTCTTTCCTTTTTTTGTTTCCTTTTTTAGTCCTTCCTTCTTTCCATCTGATTGCAGAATATGTTCCCCCTGGGATTTTGGGGTGAAGATAGGAATTAAATGATAGAAAAAAATTTAAGTCATAACATCTTTGAAAATCCAAATTCTACCATTCGGTATATTTTCTATACCTTCTAATTTTGGACACACAGATTTTCTATGTTTATAGCAAGTAACTGATAAAAGAAAAAAGAATTGTGCAAAGCAATACCAGTTTTTGAAGCACTTGTTTACAAATTATCATATACTGTGGATAAAATTATAGTTACAAGTATACCTAAATAGTGTTTGTTCCCTTGCTTTCAAGGTTCTGTATAATTTAAGTACATTCAATTCAGTTTGTATATTTATATACAAACTGTATTATGCTTGGGAACAAGATGAGCAACATACAACTCCTGAGTTTCATTTACACTTTAAGAAGAAGAAATTGACAATTCTCTTTCAATACAATCTCAGAATAAACTAAGTAAATGATTCAGATCCACCTGAGATCAAGCAGAATTAGGATGGTATGATAGTAATGACTGAAGTGGTGGCTATAGCGATCTTTGTAATTATTTTATTCCATTTTTGATTAACAAGTATTAATCATACATATTAAATAGGATTCAATGTAATATTCCCACACACACATACAACATGTGCTGATCAAATCCAACCTCCCTTTATCTATCACCTATGCTCATAAGGACCCTCCCCATCTTCATCTCAAAACTGTTCTAAGTGTCTGGAGGCCACCTTGTTCTTTGGTTCATAGCATGCTTGAAAGCTAAGAATTGGGCTAACCAAGTACTCCTCAGTGATTCGAATCTCATAATTTCTATCCTGCTTCCCACCAATCAAAAACTTCAGAAGATCACTTCTACATTTTAGCCTTCCTTTTTTTCTAAATGCATTAATTTTTAATGTACTATAATTCAATATCAACTGGCTATAGATTCTAATAAAAATAGACCTAATGAACTTATTTACAAGTTACTTAATAAGGTAGGTAAAAACAATTATGGTAGCTGAATCCCTCTGTAAGCAAAGGAGTTAACAACACAAGATAATTTGGTATCAACACCAAAGTGCCACACTTTATTCTGTGCTGCTATACTGGCTAATATTACCATGAAATGAACTTTAATATCATAAATCTAGTCAATGCCAGGTTGTGTAGAGTATAGAAGAAAATACTTGAATCCATGGAATTTGCTCAGTGATCTGAACTAGCAATAATGGACAATAAATACTGGGATCTAATCTTAGCTTTTCTGGGTAATTAGGGTGACTGAAGGATCTATAAAAAGAAGTAGTGCAGATCAGATGCAAGAGGCTCTTGGACTCCCGGAGATTAACAGTAAAACTGGTGAAATGGAACAAAGTCTTGTTTGGTTTTTGGTTTTGTTTTTTAGATAAAAGGATTGTGAAGTTGTATTGTAACCTGATGAGGCTTTGTTGCCAAAAATACTTGAGTTCCCAGACCAGGCTAGCCAAAGAATGAGTTCCTTAATCTCTCAGTCCTATGGTATGTAAAGTGGGGATTATACTGATGTTTTATATCTATAGTTCTCAACTTTGACTACATTTTAGAATCACTTTGAAAACTTTAAATAGTATTCCATCAACAGGGTTTTACTCACCAGGCAATTCTTTGTGCAGCCCAGGATAAGAATTAATGTTAAGAACCATGGATTTATATGAAACACCTAGTACTAACATGCTAATTGATTTTACTATTACTACTAGATATTTTCTTGATATAGGTGGGAATCAATAAATATAATAATAATAATAATGGAACGCAAGTGTAAAAGGAGGACTGTCTGGGGGAATCAGCGGAGGGCAGAGCAGGAAAAGAGAAGGTACTGGGTGGTAAAGAACAAAGTATGTTCTTCATACGTATATGTGTATGAAGATAGCATAATGAAATCCATCAAATACTGAAGTACTGTTTGGAAGGGAGGAGACTAAGGGAACATAATAGAGGGGGTGAATTTGTTCAAAGTATACTCTACACATCAATGGAATTTTCACATTGAAACCCCCTTGTACTATTTATTAATTCATGATAGTAAAATGTTTTAAAAATAATTAACTATAAACAAATGAAAATTATAAAAAAAATTTCTGTGAAGATAAAAGTAAATAAATAAGTCATAAGCTGGGCATGGTGGCATGTGCCTAAAGTCCAGATATTGAGGAGACTGGTGCAGGAGGATCGCTTGAGTCCAGGAGTTTGAGACCAGCCTGGGCATTTTAGTGAGACTCCATTGCTGACTAACTACATGAACACACACACACACACAACCACACACACACACACAACCACACACACACACACACAACCACACACACACACAACCACACACACACACACACACAACCGCAGAATCTTCACAGCTGAAATTTTTTCTAGTCTAGCCTCCCATCCAGTAAAGGCCACACATTCATAACATCTAGTACCAGCATCATTTGAAAAGCAGTCTATGGTATTGGCCAGGCTAGAAATCTTGGCTAGAGAGTCAGTCTGACTGGGTTTAAATCTTAGTTGTAAGGTACTAAACAAGCTTTTACCCTGTGTCTCAA